TTTTAATAATTAAATTAATTAAATTAATATTTTTGAAGAGAATATTGTGTGAATTTTAACATTTTTATGTGGCTCCATAAACTACACCCCATGGCTGGTGCCCGGTCTCCAACGTCAAAGAAGTCTTCTTGTCAAAGCTTATAACCCTTTCCCACCCAGGCCAACATCTCCTAATAACCAAATTGAAAAACAGAACCGGGTGCCCTGTGTCTAACGTCAAAGAAGTTTTCTTGTCAAAGCTTATTACGCCTTTACTACCCAGGTCAACATGTCCTAATAACCAATTTGAAAAACAGAACCCCCCAGATTCTTATAGTTCGATTATCTCATGGATCCATGATCCGAGGTAGAGAACTTAACAATGTCTTGCTTCAGATTCTTCCTTACCTTTTTTGTACTCTCCCTGCTCAGCCTTACCACTGAAGCTCAGAACAACCCAAATTACCTCTACCATATCTGCGACAACACCACGTTCATCAGGAACAGAACTTACCAAACCAATCTTAACCGCCTCCTCTCTGCCTTCCCCAACGCCACCGCCATCAATGGGTTCTATAATACCACCTCTGGGGAAGAACCCAACAGGATCTACGGCTTCTTCCTCTGCCGCGGCGACGTTTTAACCACTACGTGTCGAAATTGTGTAACGTTTGCCACCGGAGATGTGATTCAGAAGTGCCCTGTTGAGAAAGAGGCCGTGATTTGGTACGATGAGTGCCTCCTCCGCTACTCCAACAAATCGATCTTCTCCACTCTGAGTGAAATGGAAACAAAGTACTTAGTCGGTGTTCAGACGGACACGGATCCGATCCAATTCAACGAGGTACAGAAGGTGGCCATGAACGATGCGGTGGCTCAGGCTGTGTCAGTGGCTAAAAGGTTTGCCACAAAGGAGGCTAATATTTCTAGGTTTCGGACCCTGTACGGTCTGGTCCAGTGCACACCAGACCTGTCAAGTAAGGACTGTGATCGGTGTCTCCGAGTAGCCATAGGAGAGCTCCCTAAATGTTGTTTTGGACGAAACGGCGGCAGAGTATTGAACCCTAGTTGTTTTTTTAGGTTTGAAATTTACCCTTTCTACAACGGAGCTTCGGCGCCACCGCCAACGACTGTTACCACTTCGCCTGATTCAATGGTCAACCCCAACGGTAAAGTTTACCCTTTTTAATTTTATTATCCTGATGATCTGATCATTTTCATCCCATCTTTCCTTTATAAGATGTTGTTCATAGTTACAACAGCAATAGCTATAGTGATCTGCCCAACCCTAACGTCTTATAATTAAAAATATTTTAAAAGTCAAATATCAGGTCGAGAGGATATAACGGAGGTGTTAGTGGTTGTTACTTTGAAATTATAGTATTTTTAGTTATTTATAAGGTGGTTAAGATTAAATTTTTTTCATTTTTTTAATATTTTTAATATTAAAATATTTTAATTTAAACTTAATTTTGGTGTTTATTAGTCACATATATATACAAAATACTAAT